CATTTTCCTGTTCGTTTCATAAACTGTATTTGTATATGCGAACTAATATTAATAATCAGAAACAACTACATTTTCATATATCAAGAATACCAAGACCACCGAAACAAGCAGTCTGGGGAATCCCATGTTAATGATGCTTTCATACGCCGAGCACAATTATACCAGACTCTTCGACTCCGAGCTGCGTACCTCCGGCAAGTACACATCATCTGCCTCATGCATGTGCGTCACCTGTTCGGAGGCCCTCCAGTGGTCACTTATATCCCCGCCAGAATCATTTAACAACACGATAACTGTTCACAGCTACAGGCCACAAAAGGCAATCGTTGTACAGCTGGGGCCCAATTGTGATTTTGGAATAGAATTTGTACAACTTACTCAATGCACCAAAACATCCTGCTCCAGCTATCGCTTAATTCCCCTTCTACACTTCTACACTATTCATTTCACACTTCTCATTTATTCAACTAACAATCATCACTTGTCCCGCCCTGTGTTAGTTAACTCTCACCCTCCTGGCTTCCCAAAATATCTACAAAGCTATCAGCGTGGTCGACATGGATTGCTGTGGTGAAATATCGAAATTTTTCACTGTTTAACAATAAAATAGTGGTGCAAGATTAACAGAAAGTGTCACCATTATAGCCATGCAAGCCGTCAGATATCCAGAACCAGAGCCCACGTCCAGCGCCTTTTTGCCCTCCGTCAAGTGATCCTTGAGTAGCTCCAACGAAGAGGCGTGCTAGAAAAAGTACTGGTAATTAAAACAGTTAAAATGCTGTACCTTTTCCAAATCTAACTTATCAGAATCACTAAGCCTTAAATGTGCTACTTCAATGCCTCCCGAAACTGTACTCAGCAGTCAGATCCCTCAAACTACCTACTACAGGCAGCAAAAAAATGCAACAGAATAGGTATTTCTTGTCGGAAAAACGAAATAAACGGCGCCGCGCACCTGATAACAATGCTTTTTTGCACCGCTTTGTCCAGACGATGTTTGCTTTCTGTTTGTTTCAGGGTCTTGAAAACGTAAATGTTCATTTTTTTTTTTTACGTTTGTACTGCTCATAGGTAAATTGTAACTTTTGCAGCTTTCACTGTCATCGTGACTGATGGATTTCAGAATCGACATTTTTTAGGTCTTTGATGCAATGTTGTCCCCGCGATAAGTAAGTTTTATGTTCATTCATAACGCTGGCGCAAATTGTTATAAGACAACCACCACTTAATGGACTACACCACGGCTCCTG